GCCTCACACTACCTAATCTCAGAACCTACCATACAGCCATGGTAGTCAAAACAGCCTGGAACTGGTACAGTGACAGACACATAGAACAATGGAACAGAATTGAGAATCCAGATATAAATCCATCTACCTATGGACAACTCATCTGTGACAAAGGGCCAAAGTCCATTAAATGAGGAAGAGACAGTCTTTAACAAATGGTGCTGGCGAAACTGGATGTCTCTCTGTAGAAAAATGAAACAGAACCCGTATCTCACACCATACACAAAAAGTAAGTCAAAATGGATCAAAGACATAAATATAAAACCTAAAACTATAAAGATCATGGAATAAAAAATAGGGACAATGGTAGGAACCCTAATATATGGCATAAATAGAATACCAAACATAACTAAAAATGTACAAACAGCAGAAGACGAACTAGATAAATGGGACCTCCTAAAAATTAAACACTTGTGCTCATCAAAAGACTTCTCCAAAACAGTAAAAAGAGAACCTACAGACTGGGAAAAAAAAAATTGGCTATGACATATCTGACAAGGGTCTAATACCTAAAATCTATAGAAAACTTCAACACCTCAACAACAAAAAGACAAACAATCCAGTCAAAAAATGGGCAAAGGATATGAATGGACACTTTACCAACGAAGACGTTCAGGGGGGTAACAGACACATGAAGAAATGTTTGCGATTATTAGCCATTAGAGAAATGCAAACTACAATGAGATACCATCTCACACCAACAATAATAGCACTAATTAAAAAAAAAATTTGGCGAGGTTATGGGAAAATGGGAACTCTTATACACTACTGGTGGAATGTAAAATGGTACAACCACTATGGAAAATAGTTTGGCGCTTCCTTAAAAAGCTAGAAATAGAGATATTATACAGTCTAGCAATTTCACTCCCACGTATATACCCTAAAGAAATGCGCTGTGACATGAATAGACATATGCACATCCATGTTCCTTGCTTCATTATTCACAATAGCAAAAGATGGAAACAACCTAAGTGCCCATCAATGGATGAATGGATAAACAAATTGTGGTACATATACACAATGGAATATTACACAACGATAAAGAATAATGATCTGCAAAACATCTCACAACATGGATGAATTTGTAGGACATTATGCTGAGGAAAATAAGTCAATCACAAAAGGACAAATATTGTATGAGACCATTATTATAAAAAAATTAAAAAAAAGAAAAGGTTTACACATAGGGGAAAAAATTCTTTGATGGTTACCAGGGATGGAAGGGGGACGGAGGGAGGGAAAATTACTAACTAGATAGAAAACACTTGTTAATATTGGTGAAGGGAAAGGCAATACACAATATGGGGAAAGTCAGTACAATAGGACCAAGGCAAAGGAAGACACTGAGAGGATCGCAAGAATAAAGGGCAACTATAACACAGACAATCCTGCCCAAAACCATTGCTGTCAAGTCAATTCCAACTCATAGCGACTGTCTTAGGCTGGGCCCTCTACAGAAGCAAAACCAGTAATGCGTATAAATATATATAGAGAGAGAGATTTACATCAAGGAAACAGCTCACGTGACTGCAGAGGCTAGAACGTCCCAAGTCCATGGATCAGGGTAGAGGATCTCCCAAGTCACGCACCAGTAGAAGCTGGTGAGCCCAAGATCGGCAGGTTGGAGAGCAGGGCTACCGCTCACAGGCTGTGAAGGTTGATGAATTCCAAGATCTGCAGGCAAGACCCCAAGGTTTCTTCTGATTCACGTAGCTGCAGGGGCCGGTGAAACCAAGATCAGCAGGTCAGCGAGCAGGGCTCCACTCACAGGCTGTGAAGCTCAACGAATCCCAAGTTCAGCGGATAAGCTGACAGCTCAAGTCCAAGAACCAGAGGTGAGATGACAGGAGGCAGCAGCAGGATCCAGAGTGAGCAAAAAGCCAGAGCATGTGCTTATATTCAGATGCAGGCCACACCCCCAAGGAAACTCCCTTTCATCTGACTGGCTACTCACAGCATATTCAATCATGGGAGCGATCACGTATAAACACTGAGAATTATGGCCCAGCCAAGTTGACACCCAATTTTAATCATCACAGCAACCCTATAGGACAGAGTAGAACTGCTCCACAGGGTTTCCAAGGAGTGGCTGGTGGATTTGAACTGCTGACCTTTTAGTTAGCAGCTGAGAATATACTATGGGCTGCCAAAAGAATGAACAAATCTGTCTTGGAAGAAGTACAACCAGAATGCTCCTTAGCAGCAAGGATGGCAAGACTATGTCTCATATACTTTGGACATGTTATCAGGAAGGACCAGTCCCTGGAGAAGAACATCATGCTTGGTAAAGTGGAGCATCAGTGAAAAAGAGGAAGACCCTCAGTGAGATGGACTGACACAGTGGCTGCAACAATGGGCTCAAGCATAACAACAACTGTGAGGATGGCACAAGGCTGGGCAGTGTTTCATTTTGTTGTACACAGAGTCGCAATGAGTGGGAACTGACTCAATGGCACCTAACAACAACAACAAGACAATCCTGCAATAATATTATATTATTATTATTAGATAGGTATGCTAAAGAGGTGTGGGAGGGTATAAGGGAGCATACCACCTGCAGATATAGATTTGGCTGTGGATATTTCTACATACATAATTGTAGGTGCTGCATGTATATTAATATAGACAATATAGCACACAAGCGGCACAGTCATGGAAAGTTCTTAGCATAACCAAACACCTCTTAGGATGAAGTTCCGAGGCTCAAAGGCGAAGGACCATAGACTCGGGAGACATCTAGGTAAACTGACATAACATAGTTTATAAAGGCAATGTTCTGCATCCTACTCTGGTGAGTAGTGTCTGGAGTCTTAAAAGCTTGCGATCGGCCATCTAAGATACAACTATTGGTCTCTTTCCATCCAGAGCAAAGTAGAGTAAAGAAAGCCAAAGACTCAAGGGAGCAATGAATCCAAAGGACTAATGGACCACATGAACCACAGCCTACACGACCCCGAGTCCAGAAGAACTAGGTGGTGCCCAGCTACCACTACCGACCACTCTGACTGGGATCACAGCAAAGGGTCCCAGACACAGTGGGAGAAAAATGCAGTACAAAAAAACCAAAGTCACAAAAAAGACCAGACTTACTGGTCTGACAGAGACTGGAGGAACTCCCAACACTATGGCCCAAAGACACACTTCTGACTTGAAACTGAAGCCATTCCCAGAGACCAACTTTCAGCCAAACAATAGATATGCCCATAAAATAAACTATAACACCCAAGAGGAACGTGTTCCTTAGAACAATCAATTATATGAGATCAAAAGGACAAACTTTGCCAAAAAGCAATGATGAGGAGGCAGGAAGAGTTGGAAAATCCAGACAAAAGGAAACCAGGAAGCCAAGGCAGAAATGAGGAGAGTGCTGACACATTGTGGGAAACCCAACCAATGTCATGGAACATTACGTACAAGCTGTCGAATGGGAAACCAATTTGCTCTGTAAACTTTCACTAAAGCACACACACACGAAAAAAAAACCATTGGGTACCTATGATGTATTAGGAGCTACTGGGTGGTACAAACGGTTAACCTGCTCGGCTGCTAATTGAAAGGTTGGAAGTTTGAGTCCACCCAGAGGCGCCTTAAGGAGTCCTGGTGGTGCCAAAGGTGGACTGGACTAGACTGGAATGCTAACCGAGAGGTTGGTGGTTTGAACCCACCCAGCCACTCTGTAAGAGAAAGACCTGGCAATCTGCTCTCGTAAAGATTTCAGCCAAGAAAACCCTATGGGGGCAGTTCTACTTTGTCACATAAGGTCACTATGAGTCAGAACTGACTCAGAGGTGCCTTGAAATAAAGGCCTGGCAATCTACTTCTAAAAGATCAGCAGCTGAAAACCCTGTGGAGCACAGTTCTACTCTGACACACATCGGGTTGTCATGAGTTGGAAATGACTTTACAGGAACTTTTTTTTTTTAATGATGTGTCAGACACTGTGTTAGGTGCGTGGAGATTCAATAATGAGCAAGAGACATGTTTTAGTGGAGGAATCAAAGGGGAAAAAACAAGTTAACAGTTAAATATGTAAATAATTAAATTTAATTTTAATTCTTTAAAAAAAATAATTAAAATTTGTGGTGTTGTGGAAGAAAGAGAAGACTAAGCTAGATCTGTGGTTCTCAACCAGGGACAATTTTGCCCCCCTCCCCCACCTGACCCCAGGGGAGTTTTGGTACTGTCTGGAGAAATTTTTTATTGTCACAATTTGGGGAAGGAGAGTGCTACTAGCATCTAGTGGTTAGAGACCAGGAATGGTGCTAAAAATCCTACCAAGGTTAGCCCTCCCACAACAAAGAATTACCAGGCCCAGACGTCAACAGTGTTGTCACTGAGAAATCCGGAGCTAGACAATGGCAGTGAAAAAAAACAAACAAAAAAAGGAAACCCACAGCCATAGAGTCGATTGCAACTCATAGTGACCCTACAAGACAGAGTAGAACTGCCCCATAGGGTTTCCAAGGAGCACCTGGTGGATTTGAACCACCAACCTTTTGGCTAGCAGCTGTAGCTTTTTACCACTATGCCACCAGGGTTTCCAATGGCAGTGAAGATCCCTGATTTAGGTCAGAGGATCAAAGAAAACTCCTGTGAGAAAATGACATTTAGGCGAAGCCTTAACTGGGTGGGAACCAGCCGGACATGCAAAAAGTGGCAGAGGAGCATCCCAGGTAGAGGGGAACACAGGTGTGAAAACAACAAATTACAGTGATAAATTATGTTTCTGTGTAGTGTACATATGCGTATATGGCAGTGGAAGGAGGAAATTAAGAAATCTTTCATATTTCACTTTGCATACTTCTTTCTAGTTTGAAATTTTGAGAACAGTCATACATTTTCTTTTTTTGCAATTAAAAAAATAAGGAGAAAAGAGAAAAGCACAAAAAGCAGACAAGTTGGAAAAGGCCTCTTGCAAAACTACAGTTAAGATTCGAAAGAGGTAGATTTCAGAGAAGAACCTTAAGGTGTTCAGGAGGCCCCGGTATCTTCAGTATCTTTGTAATCTGAGGCTGGTCGCCATCCTATACCACCTTCCGCATCCATCTGACCTTCCACAAAAGTATGACAGGATTTCCTAGAAAACACGTGATTCAGAGCCAGATAATTTATGTCCAATGCCTAGTTTTACCCTTCTTAGCTTTACTACATATGGATTTTCAGTTATCTAAGCATCAGTTTTCTCGGATTTAAGGGAAAAAAACAACAACCTACATTACTAGTTTGAGTATTAAATGAGATCATTTAACTTAAGTGTTTCATAAACTGTAAAGCACAGTACAAACACAAGATGTTGAGAATAAAGCAAGTAAAGACGGTGTTCAACAAGTTATCTTTTTTTGCTCTGTCCCTTTGATTCCAAATTCCCTCTAGTGAAAGAGAAGTGACAAGTGGGCTACAGAGAAGAAAGAAGGCTCTGAGGGGAAGTGCAGTCTAGGAGAAAAGTGACAGAAAACAAACGTGGCAGCCCCAGTGATGTTCCTTACTCCTGTCACTAAGAGGAGGAGAATAATGTGATGCGGTTGATAAAATCACCAGAAGATGGTTGTAGCCAAGCCCCAAGCCCTCGACAAGACAAAGGCCAGCTTCTCCTAAGGCAGCCCAAGATCCTTTGACATGAGTTGTGAAGAGATTATTATAGAACCATTGTGTAGGGGTTGGAGCCCAGCAGTCTGCATATTTCATAAAAATATCTACCCCCCCCCCAACAGAGACTAGAAGCATGAATCATCATTCCTCCACCCAGCACAGTGCCTACAGAAACCATGCCTACCCCACGGTTGTTGAATGGATGAATGAAATAAATACATTCTCCAATCGTTTGATGGGCTTGGTTCCAAAAATAATAAAAATATGTAATTGCATGTCACTGATGACTTAGCCATTTATTTCTTCTTCACTTCAGGAATTTCTTTATCAATACATTTTTCTGGCTTATTTGCCTAAATTTCTGAGTTTTTGCCTTTGAAGGGTTTGCAGGCTGTGAAAAGTTAACTTTACACAACTCTGTTTCTTTTCTTGGCCTTGAGGCAGCTTCAGAAGATAAGACATCAAATGGAACTATGTTTGCCCAGAGGCAAAAAAAATAATGGTGAAAAACATTTACGAGCAACCTCGTCAAGCGCCCATAAGTCTTCTCAATTTTACACATGCAATTTCCCAATTTAAATAACATTCACATGAATTCAGCAAATAATATGCAGCAAATGTGAATCCACATAATTTTAGCACTGGAAAGAATCTTAACTGAAGCCATTTACAGAGAGGCCCTGAGACATTAACAGACTCATAGTCCTGAAACTTGTTTCTCCACCTTGAGAAAAGCAAATAAATAAATAAATATATCCTAAGCAGTTGGTAAAATTTGGAGCCCACTCTTTTGGGTGTTTTCCTTTCTTGTGTTGCTCAGACCCCGGGCACTTTCTTCCCATAATACACCAACAATCCAAAAACTCCAGACAAGTTTGGGACCAGCCTTGGGGGTGAGGCGGGGGGCATCCAAAACGGGGACTCTTAAAGGCATTACCTGCAACCAGCATCGTGCTAGTGTTCCCGTTTGGAATATCTCACCAGCTTTAGAAACTGCTTAGATACGATTTGCTTGAGCAGAAGGTGTGCTTTTGCCGGATCACGCCGGACTGCCAACTAAAGCGAGTTCAAAGCTCGACTTTTTCCTCATTGCAGACGGAAAGAGGCTTTTAATTTTCCTCGCCCCTCCCTCCTCCCCGTAACGTTTGTTTTCAAACTATAAACTCGCCGCAGTTCTCGATTTACATCTCGCTTGCCTGAGAATGGCAGTAATTAGCAAAGTTCACTTAACCAAAGAAAAAGATACCTTTGTGTACGTAATGACAGCCACCACGTGGCCAACGAAGACTACGGGGAGGAAGGAAGCATTTTTGTCTCGGTCGGCGGAAAGCGGGAGGGGGACGGTCCGGCCGACTAAGACACGTGTTGTGAAGTCGCTTCGAAAGCGGCCGAGGCCGCAGCAACAGCTTTCAAAGTCCGCAAACAAAGCGTCTCCCGAGTAACCGCCTGACTCCAGACGCGGCTCCTGCCACTCAGGCCGCGGAGTCACTGCGTCGGCCGCCGGGCTCCTCCTCCCGGCGTCCCTCCTCCGCCCTCCTCTCCGCTCTCCCGGCGGATATGAGCCACCAATCGCTGCCACAAACAACCCTTCAAACCAAAGAATGGAGCGGCCTGGTAACCGGCGGTGCGGCGCTGCGCGGCGCGCCCTCTGCCACACAGCTGTTCCGCACCCGCGCGCGGCAGCGCTTTCCTGTCCGGCAGGCCGGGAAGGCTGCGCTCCAGCCAGGCAGTCACAGGGCAGCCCCCGGCTGGCCGCCCCTCCGGACCACGCGCTTCCTGTTCTGTTTTAGGTGTGTGTTCTCTTCTGTGCTGAGCGGTCGACAAACCACAGCAGAAAAAATCCGAAGATTCCTGCTTTCTTGTAGTGCCGTTTTTCCCTGTGTCTATTCGTTTTAAGTCCTGTAATTGGAAAAAACCACCAAGCTTTCTAAACTCTGGCCTAAACACCCCCTCGTTTTTGCGTGTGTGTGTGTGTGTGTGTGTGTTGGGGTTGGGGGTGGAGGGCTGGCTTTAATTTTCAGAGTAATCCTAAAACAGAGGCTTCAAAGTCTAGTTAGTAATTTTTTGGCTTGCTATAGCCCTCGTCGGGTTTAACCTTATTTCCACAGAGCTTCCACTGGCGGGATCTCCATCGAGGTTACAAAACAAAAACAGCACAGACCCGAAACTGGAGGCAGACCCGGGCGCTGACGTCTCTACTAGACTTATTTACGTTTCGGGTTTTTTCTTTTTTTTTTAAGTGAGGGGAAAGTCTTACTGTGGCTTGTGACAGTTCGAATGCTTCAAAACAGCTGAACACAAACGCGCAAACTAGACCCAGAGGAGGGGCGGGGAGGGGGCCTGCAATTCTTGCGTTCAGACAAACAGCATCTGGTCTTTTAAAAGGGTAATTTCATCAAGGAACTCCTGTTGGAATCTTCATAACTCTCAACCAAAATAAACCAACAGGAACGTGTGTTTACTTAATGGCTAGTTTCTGTTTGAAACACCGGAGGAGAGGAGGGGTCCCCTAGCAAGGTTTAAGTCCTAAAAGTAGACACTGTTTACCGAAACAGATGAGCAGCCACAGCATTGTCGCCCCTTTTCCGGAAAGGCGGCATCTGCCCGGGCCAGGGGTGGGGGGTGTCTGCTCCGAGTGGCAGCAGGGCGGGCGCGCGCCCCGGCCGTCTCCAGGCAAAGACAAGCATGTGAGCATGACAAGTGTCTGTCCGCAACGTGTTGGAGATTTCGTAACTGCCTTGCAATCCAGTCCGGAACTCCCAGCTATAGCCCAGGGGAGTAGAACTTCGCCTGGGTGTCTGTGTTTCATTCCCCCTCCCCCAACCCCCCGCAATAGTGGCTGCTGGAGGAAGAGCCCTGGACGAGAAGGGTGCGCCAAGACGCGCCCGTGAGTCAATGGCAGCCGCGCATTCTGGAAGAAGTTCGTTCTTGTCCCGAATACTTTTCCTCCCGCGCTCCGCCCCTTGAATCCGAAGAGAGTCAGGGGCAGCTGTCAACTACGAGAGGGGCAGCCTTTGCTTCCCGGGGGTGGAGGAGGGGAGTTACAATTTCTCAAGCAAACGCACCCGCGCCAGCCCGGGAAGAAAGGCCCAAAAGAGAAAGACCTGCGCCCCGCCGCCGCGTGAAGGACGCGGGCTGTGTGTGCGCAGCGGGCAGGAAGGATTGGGTTTCTCTGTCCCCACCCCCGCGCCGCCCCTGCGAGTGACGGGTGACAGCGGCCGGGCGCGCGCGGCTCTCGGCTCGGGTCCCCGGATCCCAGCGCTGGAAGGTGTGGGGGAGGGGTGAGGAGCCGCAGGCGGGCAGGCGGGCGGGCGGGCGGGGGACGGGGCGGGCGGCGGGGGGCGGAGGCAGGACCTCCTGTACCTTCCCTCAGCGCCTCGCTCACTCTGACAGCGCCGAGGTGAGCCGAGCAGGAGCCGGGAACAAAGGAGCCAAGAGGGGAGGGGAGCGGGTCTGGGGAGGGAGAGCCCCGGCCGGCTGCCAGAAGATCCCAGCAGGAGGAAGCCCGAGTGTCAGCTGAATTCCATCCAAGAACCGGGCGCCTGGGACCGGAGCGCCTTGTTTAGCAATAACGGCTGGAGCACCTCCTCCAAGTTACGGGAGAGTCTGCGGTGCCGGAGGACCCGCGCCTGCCCTCTTGCCCACCACTCCTGGCGCCTCTGGTCCCCAGTCTTCCCTCCCGCGGGAAGTGGAGATCCAGAATGAAAAGCAAGAAAGGTAAGCCCGCCGCGTACGGCGCGCGGCGTGTGCACGACTACCGAGGACGTGCCGGCGGGGCCCAGCGGGGTGGGTTGTTAAAGTGACTTTGTGGACTTTTCCGCCGAGGGACTCTCAGGCAACCTTTCTTTGTTGGGATTCGGTCTGAAATGGCAGTTGATGTTTTCCTTCTAGACACAACACGAGGAGCTGTTGTTGGGAGACCGGCCTCTCCATGCTGCTGGCACGTTGTCAAGAAACACGCTCCGCGGTCCTGTTTGTGTCGCTCCAACTTTCATTGTCTGAGCCGACATTCCGGCTGGCCGCGCCTGGGCTTCTCGCCCTTTCTCGCAGGCCAGGGGTGTGGGGTCCCGGCAGGGCCGCAGGACAGGGGGACCCCGCGCTTTCTCCTCTGGAGCGGCGCCGTGGGGTCCCTGACACCCGGGACTGCGAAGCTGCCGAGCCTTTGTCTCAAAGTTGGAATCAAGGGCTCCCACGCCCAGCTGGGCTCGGCACCTTCTTTTCTTTAGGAATGTGGTGTTTGCGTAATTGAAGGGGCGTCATTCTGGACCCCAAACTGCCCTCAGGTGTAAGTAGTTTTGGAAAGCTAGACTTCTTAAAATCTCTTGTCTTTAGAAGTTTTCCCACGATGAATTGGGGCAAAATGAAGAGTTGGAACTTAGGGCAAGCTGCTTAAAGCGGCATGCAGTCAAAATGTGTCCAAGTGTGCCAAGCAGGCTTGGTTGTAAGTGCAGAAAGTGACTCTGTCATTGTTTCCACGAAGCGTTCTGGAAGCGTTACAACTAAAACTTACCGTCAGCCTGGTTTAAAAACATAATACACAGGAAAAAAAAAAAAACCCCAACCAACCCACGAAAGGTCAGAGAATTTGAACTCCCTTTTGAAGTTAACTTTTGAGTCCCTGGTTGGGAGGTGCCCTCGAATATTCTGTCGTTGAGCTGGAGCTGGCTTTTCTGTTGTGATTTGTGTGGAGTGGTTCAAAACAGAAGTTGATCGCTTGTGCAGCAAACGGGGGGGGGGGGGGGGGGGGGTCTGGGGGCACTGCGCATGCCCAGTAGGTCGCTCGGGTTTTTTTTTTTTTTTAACTCCACATTCTTTCAGACTCGTAATGCCCTGATAGACATTACAGCAAGTACAGTTAAAACGGAAAAATTTAAAGTGGAACAGCCTTATGCCCGAGAGTTTCTTCGGCTACGTTTTTATTTTGGGGTTCTGTTCATTTGATTCTGTGAAATGAAAGACTTTGAAACAGGTGGAACGTATCCTTTCCCAGCCAGAGTAAAATTAAACGTCAGAACCAGGCTAACATCGTAGTAGGGTCCCTGTGAAAGCCCCCCACCCCGATAGACAGAGTGAGAAAATAGGGAGTTAACACGTCTGAGGAGCGTCCGGGGTCGCCTTTCTAAGGCTTTCTCAATTCTGTAGGACTGACAGGTCTTGATCCTTAGTGAAGGGTCTTTCTCTGTTTGAGTGGAGCTGACTTGGATAAGTTTGGGAGTTTTGTTTTTGAAGAGTGGTTCTTGTTCATCGGGTGCAGGCTCCCCTTATTGTTGGAGCTGGAGGGCGGGGTAGGGGGACGCCGCTGAGCCTCTGTGGCCCATCGCAGCCCACTCTGGCCCTCCCCGGCCCACCCTGGCTCTCCCCGGCACCTCCACCCCCCCGACCCCTCCGCGGCCCTCTACTCCCAACAGAAGACCGAGGCTGGGAAATGCCAGCAGGATCAGTGGGAATACTCGCGGTAACCAGCCCTAGCCTACTCAACGCCGAGTCACGGAGACAAGGAAAGGTTGACATGTTGGATTGGAAACTTTGTGACTGGTGTAGAGCTCGTGCGGGGGAGCTGAGAATTCGATGTTAACCAATTTTCTTTCCCTTCTTAGGTTTTCCTGGCAGGCCGCTCAAAATGTTTCAGTTCATGACATCAATTCTAGTTTTTTCTTAACTCTTTTGGTCTGAAACTCTTTTGAAATCCTCATCTGGTTGTGCTAACTTGTGCACCGACTTGAGTGGAGGCCGAGGAACTCAAGAACAAAAGCCACTTTGCTTCCTCCCTCCGTGGGCCCCTCCCTCTCCCGTTCCTCCTCTGCCCTGCCTCCTCCCTTTGTCAAATACCTTTGAGGGGGTGAAAAAGTTCCCAGAGTCGGCTCTGGAAGGACTGTGGAAGAAATCCCGCCTGCCTGGAGAAGTTGGGCTATTGTCTGTTTTAAAAAGTCTGTGAAAATCTTTTCACGTTTACTTGGAAACCAAAGCATCCTAAAAACTCAGTTTACAGAGCCCAGAATTTGGTAAGACTGTTGTATGATTATAGTCTTAAAAAGCGAAGGATGTCTGAAGTACCTTCTAAAATGGCCTAGAAACACGCAGAAAGAGGGTCAATGAGGAAAATTCCCGAGTCTTTTTGTTCCTGGTTTTTGACAGTGTTGAGTTCTTGCTTTAGAATTTCTCTTTGGCTGGGTCCGGACAAGCACATTTTGGATTTAGTGACTGAGTGTTAAGATTCCTTCCTGTTGCTTCTCCCGAGGAGATTTTCTGATCAGGAGACTTCTTTATGAGTAATTTTTCCCTTAAACTCAAGAGTTTATTATACTTCTAGATTATTTTCTAGTTTCTTCTAGGTTTTTTAGTTCCAACTTCACAATCACTAAGAAAATGCAGAAGCAAGATCACTTCTTGGAGTTGTGGGATCCCTAGGCCATCTTGTGACTCTCTAAACAACATTTCCTTGTATGTGGAAAGAGTAAAAGGCTTGTGATCCTCTCCTCCACCCCTTCTAGAACCACATTTTTAAAAGCGTAAGCAACGCAAGAAGTTTGGAAACAAGTTGTAACTGGGAAACTTTTCAAAAGCTCTGTTACAATAGGAAATGACTAACAAGGAAAAGTCTTTCTGTTTTTCAAAGTTAAGCCACCATGGGCAGGGAGAGTTTTAATGAAAACAGTCGTGACAGAAGCAAACGTGGTTTTGCTGCAGTGAAAAATATCAGCTGGCTTAGCCAAGGAACTGAAGTCTTTACTTCCTGTTACTTCAGCTTTTGTGCGCATATTGGAAATATTTATTAAGAGGTTCAGAGGCCTGGCATGCATTTATTTAAATGAACTGAAAACAGGAAAGTTGCACTGGAGGTTGATGTTCCTTAACTCATACCTGCTTTTGTGTCAGTGTCACTAACCTATTCTGAGAAGTCAAGCTTCATGTCAAACTCAGCAGATCAAAGGGCAGGCTTTTAGTTTTTTGCTTGTTTGTTTGTTTGTTTTAAACTCTTTGTTATTTACCAAATTACGGTTGGGAATTCAGTTTTCAATGAGCAAATTTTCACACTTTTTTAGGTTAAAGAAAAGGGAGGGAGATAATATCCTTGAGAAGAATGTCTGCCTTTTCAGACCTTGGAGAACTTAAATCGCTTTATTCAGATTTTCTTTAGTTATTCAATTACTTGTCACATTTCTAAAAAAAAAGTTAGATTTCTTATAATTATCAAAGCAAATGTTAAGGTTTTTATTAATAGCTGTTCACCTACATTTTAATATGGTGTTTGAAAGGTTCCCATTTTGTCAACAGTGAAAGCAGTTTCAGTTTTAAATGTACCTTTTTTAGACTTAAAAAAAATTACTACTGTTATTTAAGCAGTTTCATTAAATCTTCAGTGAAGGAAAACTTCAAATACACAGCAGTTAAAGTAGGATTCCTAACGTGGTTTATTTATGGTTGTTTGTTAAGCCTTGAGCTAAAGTGAATTTGCAAGATCATTGTCTTTTGTTAGAACTTGCTTTACTTTGTCTTTGGAGGGTTCTGCCTTCTTTGGGCACTCCCGCCAGCACCTTCTGCCCCCTGCAGTCCAAAAGTAAAAGTGCCTCACCGAGTAAAGTCAGAGTCACTTAACTGGCAAATTATCTCATCAACAAAGCTTTGGATAAGTACCTTGTTCAGTTTCATTGTTTTAAAATGGTGGGTTAAAACAATTATTTAAAAATACAACGAATGCTTTATCAGGAATATTCTTTGTTTTCTATCATGGTAAACTGACTCAGTTAAGGTTGAGTCACTTTTCAACCAAAATTAAAAATTACAGAGGAAAAAAAAATTTGTAAAGCTAAGAAGGCATACCTTTAATGTTGTATTTTGTTATTTTAATTGATTTTCCTAATACGGAAACACTCAAGTATGCTAGTTTGTCATTCCTTTATATTTTTAAAATTCTAGATTGTCTTCAAAAAAAAGAATGTATTTCTTTAGTCATTCAGAGTTGCCTGTTGTAGTTTTGAAAGGGGAAGGATTAATATCATTTGTTATTTAATTGTTTCAAAGTTCAAAATGATGTTTAACTGTAAGGGTCAGGTGTGAATTATATCTGTGATTTAAATATTCTGTATAATAGGATTAAAGTACTTAAAACCAAAAGAGAGTTTCCTTTGGATTTCACTATTCAGTTTTCTTTGACCTATAATAAATTAAGACTGAACTTTGCTTATTGATGGGTTCAGATGAAACTAACAGCTGAAATTTGTGGAATATTTTGTCTTAGTATTGGACATCTTTTGATCTCTTCGTAAAGTACTAGTAGTATAAATGTATTTTGTGTAATGAAATTGAAACCTTCATTGGCTATTTGTATTTAATAAAAAGTGATTAATATCTTCCATTAAAAGTGTCTAATTTTGATTAAATATAGGTAGCAATGAATAAGAAATGACAATGGACTTAGCATGAAATTTTAATATGTATTTTACCTTTAGAGTGCTAACTGGGCCAAGTGTGTAATTTTCTCTCTTTACATCAGTGGGGGGAAAAAGAAGAATCTTCCCTTTTATTTCAAACCTTCAGTGGAGGAAGGAGGAAGACTAGCATTTCAAATGTACACAGGGGTACTCATTAGATTTTTTTTCCTAGCTGGCAATAAAGAGGTCGTTTAGACTCATTCCGACCTCCACAGCACCCTTAACTGTTTCACATGTGACAGGCTAGTCACTTTGGGTGCAAATTGCACTGTTGGATCAGATGACAGACTTTTCTGAGAAAGATTCAAAAGGAATGTAAGATGTTAAATCCTACAGGAAAGCGAGTAAGAACAGGCTTCTGACAGTTTGTTGAGAATCTACTCAGTGCTGTGAGTCAAATTACTCTTAAGTACTTCACATGTATTCTGGTATTTCAGGACAGAAAACCACTTATCCTTTGCCTAGCTTTCAATAGTGAAGAAAACATTATTACACTGAATGGTCAAAATAAGTGAGCCTTGCTCTGATGATAAAACCATTGACAAGTGGCCTTTGTCCTAGGTGTTGTTGCAGCGTCCGGCAGTGAGACCGAGGATGATGACAGCATGGACATTCCCCTGGACCTTTCCTCTTCAGCGGGCTCAGGCAAGAGAAGGAGAAGGGGCAACTTGCCCAAAGAATCTGTTCAGATTCTCCGGGATTGGCTGTACGAACACCGATACAACGCTTATCCCTCAGAACAAGAAAAAGCATTACTGTCCCAACAAACACACCTATCTACACTACAGGTAAGGAGAAAGAACACATGTTACAGGCACACGTTTTTATTTTTTTCAAAGTCATTTTATAGCATTCCTTTATGTCCATTAAGCTCCTCCCAACTCAAAAAAAAAAGGCATATTTTTTATTGTGAACTTTATAGTGCTAAAAGCTAATAACTGGCTATTAGAGAAACACAGAAACACTTGACAGTCGTCTGTCAAATAGCATTTCCTTTAATGCCTAAAAGAGCCTTCCTTTATGCAACAAATATAAAAAGATTAAACCTTACTCTATTACCCAGGAAACTGGTTTGATATTTAAACAAGGAAGGACTTCGGTGAGGTAATTCATGTTATGTCTGTTGACACAGCCATTTGAACTGGGAAAAATCAGTAACTGGGAGGAGTGGCCCTTTTCATACAGGAAAGGTTTTCCTGTAGTTGATTAACTTAAATGCTGGGCAGTAGGTAATAGGTTAATATGGAGGAAAGTTAAAAGATAAACCTCTCTCCCTAAAATCATTTTCTGACATTTGAGAATTTATGCCCTTTTTCTCTTTCTGTAAAGATTTAAAGATGATGAGACAAAAAGGAATTTGTATGAGAAGAGGAGGTGGTTTATGACAGGAAACAGCTCTTTCTGAGCTGGGATCAAATGCCTTAAAATAGCTTTGTGAGCTCAGATCAACCTTTTCATGCCTTCTTTGATACAAAGAGAGAGATCAATTAGGCACCCCATAGAAGGTTCTCAGAAAGTGTTTGCTGAGTGAATGAGGAAAAGTGTTAAAGCATACTGATATGATTTCAGGTCTGTAACTGGTTCATCAACGCCCGCCGCAGGCTCCTCCCTGACATGTTGAGAAAGGATGGCAAAGATCCAAATCAGTTCACAATTTCCCGCCGTGGGGCCAAGATTTCTGAAGCTAGCTCTGTGGAGTCAGCCATGGGCATCAAAAACTTCATGCCAGCTCTAGAAGAGAGCCCATTTCATTCCTGCACAGCTGGACCAAACCCCACCCTAGGGAGGCCACTGTCTCCTAAGCCATCATCCCCAGGATCAGTTTTGGCTCGGCCATCAGTGATCTGCCACACCACGGTGACTGCACTGAAAGATGTGCCTTTCCCGCTTTGCCAGTCAGTAGGTGTGGGACAAAACACAGATATACAGCAGATCGCAGCCAGCAACTTTACAGACACCTCCCTCATGTACCCAGAGGACACGTGTAAATCTGGACCAAGTACAAATACACAAAGTGGTCTTTTCAACACTCCTCCTCCTACCCCACCGGACCTCAACCAGGATTTTAGTGGATTTCAGCTTCTAGTGGATGTGGCACTCAAAAGGGCTGCAGAGATGGAGCTTCAGGCAAAACTTACAGCTTAACCCTTTTTCAGGCAAAACAGTTCTCAAAAATGTTGTCATGATTGCCAGGGGATGGCAAGAGATGAATTGCATTATTTTATATATTTTTTTATTAATATTTGCACATGGGATTGCTAAAATAAAGCTTCCTGTTACTGAGATGTCTTCAATGGAATACAGTCATTCCAAGAACTATAAACTCAAAGCTACTGTAGAAACAAAGGGTTTTCTTTTTTAAATGTTTCTTGGTAGATTCTTCATAATGTGAGATGGTTCCCAAGATCATGTGATTTTTTTTTCCCTCCTTTTTTTTTTTTGTTGGTGTTTTTTCAGACTGTGCAATACTTAGAGAACTTATAGCATCTTCTCATTCCCATGTGGAACAAGATGCCCACATACTGTCTAATTAATAAATTTTCCATTTTTTTCAAACAAGTATGAATCTAGCTGATTGATGATGCCTTTTTTCATGACATAATAAAGTATTTTCTTTAAAAATTATTGTAGTGCAGAGTAATTTGTTGAGGGAGGTGCTTTTTAACAAGCGGGAATATATCACTCCAATGAGAAGGAAGTTGGGGTAGGGTGGATTGTGAGTTGGGGGTGTCATCAGCTCTTCAAAGAACCATGGATAACAAGCCAGTATGTATAAACAGGATGTATGATATTTACTCTTGATAGGAGGCATAGCAGGCCCTTAAATCTTTACTTAAAACTTCGTGACAAATTGAAATGAATCATTTCATTAGTGTTTAGCTTACCATTAAATCCCTTGATGATCTGCTGTGTGTATTTTAAATCACGAACAATGTTAAAAGAAAGGCCTTGAAGCAGCTGGTTATGGCTTAAGTTTTCAGGGGTTAACAACAACCCAAGCAATCTCTTGGCATCACCTCTTTTTTACATTGCCCTATATAATAACCTTTGCTCAGTTGTACAGTTAGGTAATGGCTTTGCATTCAAATGTGGCTTAAATTGTATATAAATTGCTTTTTAAAACATCTTAAAACATTTCCTAAAGTGTTGAAGGAAACAGTGGGTTCTGTATATGGTAGGGTTGTTAGTTTGTTAGGTAAACATTTTCTAAGGTTGCAGTTCGCCAAAAAAAAAAAAAAAATAGTGCCATACACCAGTGGAGTTGTTGGGATAAACAACTATCTATAAAACCAGGATGGCCAGAAGGGAATCGGTTTCCTTTCACTTATATGGTTCAGCAGATGTGTCACATGCCACAAAACCATTCTTTGTAGTCATGCTTGGTATGAGGTTTCTTTGTTATCATAGTCATCTTTCCATCCCTGCACTAGCTATGAATTGTCTGAGTTTGAGGAAGCATCATAGCTTTAGTGTTGTTTAAAGCATGTAGAGAAATTATCCCAAAATTAAATTTGTGTAATTCTGGAACTCTATTTCAGAAAGTTTCTGCTATAGAAAGAACTGAACTCAAAGAATTGTTTTGTAAGTGAAAGTAAAAAATTTACAATGACAACCAAGAGATAGAAGAAAAATAAGTGGAGGGGAAGGTGGAGTGCTGTAGCCTATAAGGGGTACAGTTTTGAAGGGCACGTATGCCTTGAGTGAGCAGGCCCCACCTCAGACACAGAAATAGATGCAAACCAAAAAGGAAATACTAACAAAATAAAGGAACAAAGTAAATACTAATAAAAATGAGAAAACAAAGGTGCTAAGAATCCTTGCTTGCTCTAATAGCTAGATCAAAGACCTTAATTTTGCTTTGAGTGCAGATGAGTGAGACCAAATCCTGAAAGCCTTGTTTATTAAGACTTTTAACTAATCATACTAAAAGGAAGAGAAAAGCAGCCATATGAGGATTAAAAAAAAAAAGGCTGTTAAAGGTCAAACGAAAACCAAAGGTTAAAAAAAAAAGAAAAACACCCTGAATTGTCCACCTATGTATTACTTAATTTTTCCCTCTTCTGAGGCTGATAAAAATTCTGGTTGATAATAACTGGAGCATGATAAATAAAAACTTTTTTTTCTCTTTAGAGCAGGCAAATGTAATTGGAAAGGTAAATGTGAAACTGTTAACTATTCATACCGAGGCCAAATATAAATGATTTTTATATTATTTACATGGTACATATTTTTTTAATTTGTTTATTTTTAACCTATTTGTGGTTTTGTGTTTAAAGTTCATCTCTTCTAGATAGCATATTGTTGGGTCTTGCTTTTTTATCTAGTCTAACAATCTCTGCCTTTTACTTGGTTTGTTTAGTCAGTTTACATTTAATATAATTATTTATAGTTTGAATTGGGCTTACCATCTCCCACCCTCCCCCACCCCCCGTTCCTCCTTTCCTGCCTTTTGGTTTAATCAAATTTTGTTTTAATTTTTATATTGGCTTATAGTCTATACTTCTCTATTGTTTCTTAAATGGTTGTTCTAGGGGTTATAATACTGTAACATCACAATCTTCTTAGAGTTAATATTATACAACTTCATATAAAATATAGAACCTTGCGAGAGTATAGTTTCATTAACCCTCTCCCATATTCATTTGTTTTTTGTGTATATATATATATATATACACACACACATATACATGATAAACTAAACAGTAAAGTTTATAATTTTTGCTTTAAACAGGTATGTGCCTTTTAAAAAATTAAAAGAAAAGAGGATATATATATAATCTTTCATATTTGCCAAATAACTTACCATTTCTGGTATTCTATGTTCCTTCCTGTAGATCTGAGTGACATCTAGTGTCATTTCTCTTCAGTTTGAAGAATTTCCTGAAGAATAGCTTACAGTGCAGGCTTGCTGGTGACAAATTCTGCTTTTGTTCATTAAAAATGGCTTTATTTCACTTTCATCTTTGGAGGATAGTTTTATTAGATATAGAATTCTAGGTTGGTTTTTTTTTTCTTTCTTTCTTCCTTTCAGCACTTTAAAGGCATTCATTGTCTCCTGGCTGCCATTGTTTCTGATAAGACATCAGCTGTCATTTGTATCGTTTCCCTGCATGTGATGTCTTTTTTCCTCTGGTTGTTTTATCTTTGGATTTCAGCATTTATGACTCTGACGTGCCCAGGTATGGTTTTCTTTGTGTTTATCTTGCTTGTAGATCCCTGGGTGGTACAAACAGTTAACATGCTTGACTGCTAACCAAAAGGTTGGAGGTTTGAGTCCACTTAGAGGCACATCGGAAGAAAGGCCTGGCAATCTACTTTTGAAAAAGCCACTGAAAACCTTATGGAGCACAGTTCTACTATGACACACGTGGGGTTGCCATGAGTCGTAATCGCCTTGACAGCAACTGGTACTAGTATCTTGCTTGGGATTCATTGAGCTTCCTAGGCCTGTAAGTTTTTGTTTTGTTTTGTTTTGTTGGTTTTTTTTTTTTTACCAAATTTTGGGAACATTTTGGCCATTGTTTCTTCAAATACGTTTTCTTCTTCTCTCTTCTCTACCTCTAGAACTCCAGTACATTTATATTAGATCACCTGAGATTTTCCTGCATGTCTCTGAGGCTCTGTTTTTCTTCAAATTTGTTGCTCTATTCTTCAGACTGAATTATTTGTATTGATTTATTTTCAAATTCACTAACGCTTCTGCTGTTTCCTATCAGCTGTTGAGCCCATCCAGTGAATTTCATTTCAGTTATTGTATTTTTCACCTTTAGAATTCTCATTTTATCATTCCTGTTTCTCTGCTAAGATATCTCATCAGTTTATTCATTATGAGTGTATTTCCTTACAAGTTACTTATGATACCTGCCTTTAAAGCCCTTGTTTGCTAATTGAAACATTATGTCATAATCAGAGTCAGTTTCTATTGATTGCATTTTTCACTTCCATGCGTCAAGTATTCCTATTTTTTTGTACCCCTAGTGATTTTTTTAATTATATGCTGGGCATTATGAATGGTGCATTATAAACACTAGATTCTGCTACATTCCTCTAAAGGGAGTGTTCATTTTTGTTCTGGTAGGCAATTAATTTGGCTGGATTGAAACTTCATTCTCTGCCTACCGTGTAGTGGACAGTAGCTAAAATCTCTGATCAGTTCTTCAAACTTCCAGCTGCTGCCTTCTCAGTTGGCTCACAGGGGTCTTTCCTGTACAAGTTAGCCAAGGATTGAGTAGAGTTTCTATTCAGATTTTGAGGTTTACTCCTTTTATAGCTTCCTTCATTCCAGGATACCTCTCATAACTTTTCATCTGCTCTACCAGCCCCAACTCTGTCCTTGACATCTCAGATCACTAAGGCTACAGCTTTCTGCTTCCCATAGCCTTTGGAGGAATGAATAATGCCCTCAGACAAAGAGCTACAAACTTGCACATTTTACTCCTTGAAGTTCCCTTTTATGTGTAGACAACCCTCCAGTTTCTGCCTGTTTTTGGTCAGTCTCCAAGCCTTCAATTAGTTTCTTTTTTTTTTTTTATTACTATTGTGCTTTAGGTGAAGGTTTACAGAACAAACTAGCTTCGCATTAAACAGTTAGTAGTACACAATCGGTGTTTTTTCTTAATTTTTTCACACTTCATTAATTTGTTACTTATGGGGGGTGTATATGGGAGGGAGGAGGACTCCACCATTACTAGAAACTAGAATTTAAAATGCTACATCAGTGGTTCTCAAATTTATCTGTACTTTGGAATCATCTGGAAGGGAAAAACTACTGTGGCCTGGGCCGGATATTTAAAAGATCCCTGAGTGGTTGTAATGCATAGACAAGCTTGAGAACCACCTAAAGTAAGCCATTATTTCTCTTCTTAAGCAAAAAATTGGAAGTTGACAATTCATTCTATTTCCAGACCTATAAAAATTTTGGTTTTATAGTCTTTTTTTTAGGTATTATGACAATTTTTGTAAAAGAAATGTAACTTGCTGTAAAATTATTTTATCAGGTCAACTTATTCAATTGGAGTTTAATATGAATTTGATATTTGGCACTGAGTGCAAACTATAGTATACGTATAGCACTCATAAATATGGGAAGCCAAGCCACCAATGAATAGACCTGAAAGCAGTGCGGGAAGCTAAACATTCAGTACCAAACCCAAACAGTGAAGTTTATCTCTGGAAACCCTGACCAGAGAGCAAAAAGCAATGTTGAGAGACCAGAGTTTTAGGTCTCACTAAGCTCTTTAACAGGAGAATGTGTTAAGTCCTGATCTCTAGCTAAAAATCATGTTCTTAAACAGACTTCCTTCTGGGCTGAGTTTGATGATTCAGAGGCTGAAAAGAAAACACTCAACAAATGCTTTGTGGCTAAAGGAAGATCAGTAACTTACGGTTGATGGTCAAATAGTACTGCTGACAAATAAGGAAAGCATGATAAAGCTATGAATAAAACAAACAGTGCAGGGAGTTCACCAAATGTCAAGGAAACTGGGTTTTTGAATGAAATGTTTTATAGATATCAACAGAATGGACAACCTTTGAATCTAATCTCATGGTGGAAATTTACTCAGATTTGGAAAGAACATTTATAAACAGATGCATATGTAATTGCATACAGAAAAGGAAAA